GGTCAGATTCAGTCTAAGTCTCAGAGTCAGTCACTGGTTCCATCGTTTCCTTAAGCACAGGAACGCATTTAGATCTGTTCCATACGGGGATTAGGAGCTCCAGGACCCAGAGGAGAACCAGGACCCGGGAGGAGACTCAGAGGGGGACCCAGGACTCAGAGGGAGGACCAGGACCCCTGGAGGGACTATGTGTCCCGGCTGGTCTGGGAACTCCTCGGTTCCCCAGGAGGAGTTGGCAGAAGTGGGGGGAGAGGAAAGGGAAGTCTGGGTTTCCCGGTTCAGGCTGCTATTACCCGGATAAACGGGTGGAAAATGGATGAATGGATGGAAAAGAAGGACCTGAACCATCAGGTTTAGCCTCCCCTCGTCCAGAGTGAGGAATCTGATCGCTTTTCCCGATGCTACTAGTGTCACGTTAAAAGAAAACGGCTTAAGTGTCTAACTGGGAACAGGTGGGCGGGGCGGTCCATTATCCGTTATACGGGGGGGGCGGGGCGGTCCATTATACTGCACAGGGGTTGCAGAGGTCTTCAAACACTTGCGGCTCCTCGATCCCTCGTGCAAAAAGCTTTATCAGCTGGCGGTGAGCTCTGAGGAAAGAGGAAGCAAAATTATTCTTGTATAATACTTATATATATATATAGAAGATATATACAAGTTCTCCAAGTATATATGCTTGTATATACTTGGAGAACTTAGTTCAAAGCTGGTGAAGGAGGGTGATAGCGATAACTGTTTACATTTAAAGACAGACACTCTTAACTCATTGACTGGCAGCCATTTTCAGAACAGAGTCCCATACTGCCAGAGTTTTTTGAGCATTTTGACTGATTTTTCAAGAGCCACAGAATAGTTTGTGCTATGACTATGTAAACACCGAACACACCAAAAGAAAGAGTAGACTCTCTTCTTTCATCAGGAAAAAAAATGTGTTTCTACCTTATTCCGTTCTTCCTGGACTTGCGTCTCACCGGCGACATGTTCTCTCATAGAACCGTTCCCTTTTTCTTATTTGCCTACAGTCTATGCTCATCTCCCATCAAAAGTGGCACTGCCCCCTAGAGCAGGGGTCGGGAACCTTTTTGACTAAGAGAGCCATGAAAGCAAAACATTTTTACATTTATTTCAGTGATAGCCATATAATATATTTTAAAAGTGAATTAAACTAAATGTCAGTATAATAAGCCTCTGAATTTATTTATTATTTTGAATAATGTTGTTATAATACTAGTGTCGAAGTGCCGCTTTAGATTCGACCGTTTCATCGATGCAATTTTGTCACTGCAAATTAGACACACCGCAGAATTAGCTCTCTCCACAAAGGCGAATTCTTTAGTCCATTCATCCTGAAATATACGATACTCGTCATCTTTTTTTCTTTTCGCCATCTTCTTCGTCGAAGGGTTAGCTATGAGCTAATGACCGAGCAGACTGATTCAAAAGGGGCCGTTTAGCTGTCCAGTATCATCCAATTAAAAAAATGGACAATTGTTTTAATCCTGCACAGAGCGCTCTGCTCCTGCAGCCCTGCACAGGACATGAGCAGTGAAAAATCGATGGATGGATATTTGTAGCTTGTATTTGTATACAAGTGAGAATATTTTGTTTTATCTGCGAGCCAGATGCAATCATCAAAAGAGCCACACCTTGCTCGCGAGCCATAGGTTCCCGACCCCTGACCTAGAGGGTCAATTTGTTACTACATACTCTGTCTAGAAGCCGATATTTACGGACAAGCTTTAGCAGATCGTCCCCCAGACACTCTCGTTAAAAACATAAAAGACCTCTATAGACGTCTTTGGCAGCCGATGAGTTAAATGTCCCCCTTGCCCCCCCCAGGGTGGTGTGCGTGGGGGGGGACGGCATGTTCAGCGAGCTCGTGCACGGCCTCGTATGGAGGACGCAGGCCGACCACGGCGTGGACCCGAACTCCCCCGAAAACACGCTGATGCCCTGCCCGATCCGCATCGGGATCATTCCTGCAGGTACGGAAACACTGAGAGATTTAGAAGAAAAGAAAAAAAGCTTTAGCCTAGAGGGGGTTTGTTTCCTTTTAGATTTGGTTGAGATATTCTGTCACACCAGCTTTTTTCCCTTCCGATCCCGAGTAGAGGAGTGGAGTAGAAGTACAAGTACTATATAAAAAAAACTGACTTAGAGATAGTAAAACAATTCCAGCAAAACTCTGGACAACTACTAAAGTAAGTAAATAAATTATTATTAGAGCTGTAACTCTTCCTCTGGCAGAGATGTATAAAGTACTGGAGTAGAAGTACAAGTACTATATAAAAAAACTGACTTGAGTAAAAGTTGAAGTATTCTTTCAACTCCAGACTTAAGTGGAAGTACGGAAGTACTCAATTTTTTTGTACTTAAGTATTGCAAGTAGAAGTATTTCAAAAATTGCTACTCAAGTACAAGTATAAGTTAAAGTACAAGTACTGTGTATATTAAAAAAGGCAGTCAAAAGTGTGATAAATATTGTTTATATTATTTCAAATATGTGAAAGGTTTTTGTGTTTACAAAAACAGAAAACTACATCTGCATTAGCATCAACAGCACTTCATCTGCTATTATTTATTATTCCAGAGTCAGAATCCTGAGCTGAACCTTTAGCTAACATGTAGCATACAGCTAGCCCGCTAGGTTAGCTTTAGCTAACATTATCATACAGCTAGCCAGCTAGGTTAGCTCTAGCTAACATTAGCTGCTACGTCCTGAGTGAAGAGGGATAACGGAACTAGCACTTATTTACTAGCTTATATGTCATTGTATTTTTTAACTTACC